GGCTTTTTATCCAACATTTCCCAGGAAAGGGGGGGTGCAAGTGTTGGGAGGATTGTTCATTGCCCTTAAGATCCAAGGGTCTGGGTCTGTAGTCACCTAGGCAAATTGGTGAGGCTTTTTACCAAACCTTGTCCAGGAAGTGGGGTGCAAGGTTTTGGGAAGTATTTTGGGGGGAAGGACGCGTCCAAACAGCTCTTCCCCAGTAACCAGTATTAGTTTGGTGGTGGTAGCGGCCATTCCAAGGATAACGGGTGTAATATTTTGTACCTTGGGGAAGTTTTGACCTAAGCTGGTAAAGATAAGCTTAGGAGGTTTTTCATGCAGGTCCCCACATCTGTACCCTAGAGTTCAGAGTGGGGGAGGAACCTTGACAGCTTTAGATGAAGTAAGTTACTCTGGATGTCATACAATGGTGTCCCTCACATCTGTCAACTGGCTTTGAGTGTTCTAGGTACGTCCCCCGCATGTCTGGATCACACGGCTGCATGAAGTCCAGATTAACTGTCTGATGAGTAAAGCATGCTCAAGCTATTGTCAAGTTAGCCAGCACCTGCTGTGCTGCTGAATGCCACAGGTGTGTCCTGATCACCCATTAACAAGTGTAAACTCTGGACCTTACATAAACCTTGGATAGGTGCATCTTAATATCCACACTCTCCTAAGCACTTATTTGGTTGGACAATGCCAGTGTTCTAAGGTTAATTTCAATAGTATGGCACAGGCCCACAGCAGCACAGTGTGTCCAGTGTCAGGGCTAGCAGGTAAAAGATAAAAATAATCAGGTGTTTAGGCCTCTTAAGCCTACATTTAATTTCCTAAGGGCAGGTCTACACTATGGACCTCCAGTTATGCAACTCCAGCTACGTGAATAATATAGCTGGAGTCGACGTACCTTAGGTCAACTTATTGCAGTGTCTACGCTGGGCTGGATCGACAGGAGAAACTCTCCCATTGACTTACCTTATGCTTCTCATTCCGGTGGAGTATCGGAGTCGACGGGAGAGCGATCGGTGATCAATTTAGCAAGTCTTAACTAGACCCGCTAAGTCGACCCCCGGTGGATCAGTTGCCATAGCATCAATCCACGGTAAGTGGAGACAAGCCCCGAGTCTCTTCCTTTCTCAAAGGCACAAATATAGACATTCTCCAAAGCACCATTTTAAAACAGTGTGGATACAATACTGGACTGGGACTCAGGAGACCTGGGGTCTATTCCTAGCTGTGCTACTGGCCTGCTGGGTGGCCTTGGGCAAGTAATTTCACCATTCTCTGCCTCAGTTTCCCCATCTGTAAAATGGGGATAACGATAGCGACTGTCTCTGTAAATAGCGACTGTCTCCTTTGAGATCTACTGATGAAAAGTGCTATATAGGAGGTGGGTATTATTTATTTTATCTGGAAAGTCAGACTATTTTGACAATCTTCTCAAAACAATAGACTCTCATATTCTGTACATGTGTCTCCATGACAGTTCTGGCATAAAACCAAAAATGTAATAAAGATGGGGCAATAAAAATAACTAATGCTTTTGGGTGAGTTTTTACCATTAGAATCATTTTCCTCATTTAAAAGGATGTACTGCAGAGCTGCTGAGAATTTGGCTTGGTTAGCCACCTCGATGTGAGGTTTCAGAAATACCTCCATGGATGTCTTTATTATGCCAAGTGAAAACCAGTCCCTTCCGTTGCTGTCTTTACCTTTAACCACTTCACTGAACAGTCATCCCACAAATGGTTTTCACTAGCTGAAATGTCTGTACGGCCACTTGGTCATTTTTTTTGGGAAGGTCTGTTATGGAATGCTTTCTTACTGCAAGTATAGTCTCCACCATACAGAAAAAGTATGGAGGAGCATCTGAAAGACCGTTGTCATAGGGCCATCCCCACCTCATAGTAATGGGAAGGCATCACACAAGAGCAATGGGTTTACTAACTGAATAACTGCGCTGTTAATGTCCCCCATTCATGTCCTGTCAATGAGGCCTTGCGTCTAAAGTTTGTTATGGGCAAAGTGAGAGAAGTATCAAGTGCAGGAAAAAAATACATAGAATCATAGAATCATAGAATATCAGGGTTGGAAGGGACCCCAGAAGGTCATCTAGTCCAACCCCCTCCTCAAAGCAGGACTGATCCCCGACTAAATCAACCCAGCCAGGGCTTTGTCAAGCCTGACCTTAAAAACCTCTAAGGAAGGAGATTCTACCACCTCCCTAGGTAACGCATTCCAGTGTTTCACCACCCTCTTAGTGAAAAAGTTTTTCCTAATATCCAATCTAAACCTCCCCCACTGCAACTTGAGACCATTACTCCTCGTTCTGTCATCTGCTACAATTGAGAACAGTCTAGAGCCATCCTCTTTGGAACCCCCTTTTAGGTAGTTGAAAGCAGCTATCAAATCCCCCCTCATTCTTCTCTTCTGCAGGCTAAACAATCCCAGCTCCCTCAGCCTCTCCTCATAACTCATGTGTTCCAGTCCCCTAATCATTTTTGTTGCCCTTCGCTGGACTCTCTCCAATTTATCCACATCCTTCTTGAAGTGTGGGGCCCAAAACTGGACACAGTACTCCAGATGAGGCCTCACCAATGTCGAATAGAGGGGAACGATCACGTCCCTCGATCTGCTCGCTATGCCCCTACTTATACAAGTAGAAAGAAATGCTGCCATTGCTGGAAGAAAGACAACCAAGGAGAAAGAAAACTGTTCATGTTTTATTTAGATGTCTATTTCCAGAAATTTGGAGGAACGATTTAGTTGCATACAACTAGTCTAAAAAGTCTATTTAAAATTTTGCCCTCTTTGTTCTCTTCAAGAACTCCTTCTAGACTCTCTTATTTTTGTTGGATACATGTACAAAGAAATAGGACATCTTTCCACTTATATCAATTCAATGGCTGAGAAGCAAAAATATTTTCATTAGTGACTTGAATAATGGAGTGGAGAGTATGCTTATAATATATGCAGATGACACCAAGCTAGGAGGCGTTGCAAGCACTTTGGAAGAGAAGATTAGAATTCAAAATGATATGGATACATTGGAGAATTGGTCTGAAATCAATAAGATGAAATTCAATAAAGATAAGTGCGAAGTACTACATTTGGGAAGAAAAATGAAATGCACAAAATGGGAACTAACTGGCTAGGCAGCAGCACTGCTGAAGAGGATCTGGACGTTACAATGGATCCCAAATTGAATGTGAATCAACGATATGTTGCTGTTGCGAAAAAGGCTAATATCATATTGGAGTGTATTAACAGAAGTGTTGTATGTAAGACATGGGAGGTAATGCTCCATTCGGCACTAGTGCGGCTTCAGCTGGAGTTTGTGTCCTGTTCTAGGAGCCACACTCTCGGAAAGATGTGGACAAATTGGAGAAAGTCCAGAGGAATGCAACAAAAATGATCAAAGGTTTAGAAAACCTGACTAAGAGGAAAGATGGGAAAAAATTGGCTTGTGTTGGCTTTAGGAAAGAAGTCTGAGGGGGGACCTGATAACAGTCACCAAATATGTGAAGGGGTGTTATAAAGGAGACAGTGATCAATTGTTCTCAATGTCCACTGAAGGTAGAACAGAAGTAATGGGCTTAATCTGCAGCCAGGGAGATGTACGTTAGATATTAGGAAAAACTTTCTAACTCTAAGGGTAATTAAACTCTGGAATAGGCTTCCAAGGGAGGTTGTGGAATCCCCATCACCAGAGGGTTTTAAGGACAGATTGGACAAACACCTGTCAGGGATGGTCTAGGTTTACTTGGCAAGCATGAGGGGCTGGACTTGATGACCTATTGAGGTCCTTTCCAGACCTACATTTCTATGATGTGCTACTTTGCCTTTCTCTTACATTGTTCATTCAGGGATCCAAAAGTGTTTTACTAGCATTAATTAATCAGGCCCCACCATTCCTCTCTGACGTAGCCTAACTTTACAGATGGGTAAACTAGGCAAGTCACTCCTCAGTGTCACACAGCAAGTCATTGGCTCATGTTCTGGGCTTCTGCTCCAATTTTTAGAGCATCAGACTGGGAGTCCGATGACCTGGGTTCTATTCCCAGTTCTGCTGTTTGACCTTCATCAAAACACTTACCCCACTGTGTATTGGTTTATCCATGTGCTAATCTTTAAGTGATAAATGCAGGGAAACTGCTAGTTAAAGCTGCTTCTCACCTTGTTACATGACACTGCATGCAGCCAGCATTTAAAACTACCCACTCTTCAACCTCCTGGGGTTTTGTATAGTGATTCTATTGCTAAACACAGGGTGCTACCATCATGCACATTCCTCGACGGAAATGTTACCATGCAGGATGCAAAGCCCAGTTGAAACCAGTGGGGTTGCATATATGTGGGATGTGGAATGATGGCCTCCAGGTACAGTGTGTGGCATGGAGGAGTTGCTGCTTACAGTGGTTAGCAGTGACTTTCTAAGAGCTCTCTGCCGGCTAGATTGTGTGGAAGCAGTAAGGAAATGCAACCCAAGAGACATTCTACATTCCTAAAATCCCATCCCAAAAAACAGAAGCCTCATTCCAGCATCCCCTTTTCACCTTAAGGCAATAAATAAAACCTCATGGAATAGGCTTTCACAGTGGCAGTGTCCTCCAGGCAGGGACAGGGAAGAGACTCCATAGAATCACCCCTAGGAAATGCAAACCTGGAATCCCATTATATAGTCCTATCTAGAATTAGAGCATCACCGGTAGGTGGGGATATAAATCATACGGTATATGACAGAATATTGAGCCTGTGGGAATGAACGATGTGAAACCCCTGTAGAATTTGGCAAGAGTTGCTCTCTCGAGCAAAGAGTTTGATTGTAAGTTCGTTGGAGCAGGGGCTGTCATTTATTATATTTTTGTACAGGACCTAGCCAACAGGGCCCAACCACATTGTGGCCTTTAGGTGCTGCTACCATATCAATGTTAAATAACACTAATAATAAATAATAATAATATCCTACCAGCCTGCAGCTAAAGTTTCAATTTTTGTTGTTTTGCTGTTCTTACCTTTATGTTCTTCCTTGACAAAATTCTCAAACTTGTTCCTTTGCTCTTCAAAGTACTCCCTCCTTTGCTCATCAGCAATCAGCATCTGCCCGGTCTCCGCTGCGTAAGAGATGTTTATTGTATTAGCAGCAAAAAAAATCTTAAGAAGCCAGAGCATAACTTTTGTCCTCAAAACCCAATGAATCTGATTAGCCTTGTATAGCAGCACCTGTATCCTGGGCTTTCACTGGAGGCTTAGCTGCTAAAGTCCTTGTTTACAGTAGGCTTTCTAGACAATCTGTATGTATTTCATCATCCCATTGTGCAGCACAATGAAACAATACATGCAATGATGCTGGTAGAGAAATTGCTAGCTCCCATGTTTTGCCTTTTAAATTCCATAGGAAAAACACAGGTTGTTCTAATTTAGTTTGGTGGATTACAGTTATCATATTTGTCCAATGATTTAAAACCCTGTGATAAATGCCTACTAGCTAAAACTTCCTAATGAAAAGTTCCCAATGAAAATGAAACCTTATGACATTGGCTGGCTTTGGGGTGTTACTACAATGTCAGAATGCATACCATGTTTGTTGAAAAGTTCGCTATGTATTCAAATAGAGAGGAGCCCAAATTGATACAGTCAACCTTTAATTTCAGGATGTGGATTGGAATCAAATCCTTGGTTCTGAACCTGGCTTCATGGCTTTGGGATTGTGTTCCCAATCTTTGACCCTGCTCTGTGCCCTTTCAGCTGTTCCACAGTGGGACAGAGCAGGGTCAAACAGCTGTCTGGAGAATTGCCCTTGCACAGGGGAATTTCAGGGTGGCAAAGATGGCATAGCAGGCTCTCATGGCATAGTCATCTCCTCTTCTCTGGGGCATGCTGAGGCAGGAAGTGGTATGGGAAGAGTCCCCTGTGCTCTAGCAATCCTGGTTGAAAGAATAGCTCCTTGGGGGCTATAAACAGCCAGCATAATTTAGGGTAGCTGTCAAGTCTCTCTAAATTGCAGTGGGGGCCAAACCGGACCCTGGCTGTCCCCAAGACTGGAGTGGCAACAAGATGACCTAATACTCCTCTGTCTTTACCTTTTGGATCTTGAACCAAGGATCTGGCCCTGGTTTGGATACAGCTCCAGATGGTGGAAATCTTCTGTGACTTTCTTCAGTCACACTATTTCTGCCCAAGATGGCAGAAAGTGAACAGGAAAAACTAATTTTGTGAGATTTCTGCTATTTTGGGTTGAAATCTCATTAAAACAGCTACGAAGATGACATCATCTAGCCCTGGTTTGGTCATTTACACCTTGCCTGGTGATAATTTAGGGTCCAATCTTAGAAGGTGTAGGTTTCTGCCAGAAGATGAATTTTTCTGGAAAGTGAGTTTTAGTTGGAATTTGATAAGATTTTTGCTAAGGTATTTTGGTAAGAGAGGCAATTGTTGTGCATATCCTCAAGATGCTTGTGCTTCATCTGTCCATTTACTTATACATATTTCTTTTCCTCTATTTCTTACATCACTTTCTCTCTGTGTTTTTACCTGTTGGCTTGCATGAAAATGCAAAGTAAATAGCCAATTTCTATTTACAGCCATTCTTATAATATAGCTTTAGAAATTACGGTCTTGCTCAGTGGATGGACAGACCTAGATAAAGTAACTTTGTTTTAGGGACCCAGGAGAATTTTTACCAGCTGGTTTGTTGAATCAATTCCCAAAGAGTTCAAAGTGTTTTTTCAGGCAATAAGTAACAAGATAAAAGCTCCCACCACAGACCATGCATTTCCGCTGTACCCGTGCTTTGCTGCAGAGGTAGCAACCCACACTTGCGACAAGAAAGGTTGAACTCTCAAGAACCAGGCCTGTTACTTCTCACCCTATTATCAAATAGGATGCAACCAGAGAAAAGGCTCTCAGACAATTGAATAAATCTCACTGTACACATGGGACTGGGAACTGAACTGAGAGCATCCTGAAGAATGTTACTGGATAACTGAGGGAGCAAGCTAAAGGAGCCTGTTTGAACGACAACAGAGTTGGCTAATCCGGCCCATTCTAAAGATAGCCGTGAGTCATTATTATCCAGGAGAGATTCTTGGAAGGAACACTTGTAAAAGACAGTGGAAAGCAAGAGCTGTGACCACTTTATAGAAAGCCTTTGCCATATGCTTGTATGGTTCCTAGTGTAATGCCAACAGTTGTCGGCGGGCGGGATCGAACTGGGGACCTCTGGAGCTTAGTGCATGAGCCTCTACCGCATGAGCTAAAAACCAACTGCCTGTGAGCTCAGGCCATAGAGCAGACTTATTTTATCTCTCTAAGTAGTCTTGGTGCCACTAGATGGGACGGAACACCACACCCAGAAGATGTGTGGGTTACACTAGCACAATGGGGCTCCATCTTGGGGGCAATGTAAATGTTAAACACTGATAATCAAAACTAATCCTATAAATAAATGAATTGTTTGTATTGATGGCCCTACATGTCATTAGTCAAAAGACTATAGGTATTCAAAATAGAGAAGGTCCAGCTGGTCTCCTTAGCCAATGCAAAAAGAACATGAAAGAACAATTTTCCAATCCAGTGCTTCAGAGGCAGAGCAAAGTGAACTTCAGATGAGTAGAAAGAAGTGAGGGATAGAAGTGCAGGGATTTAATCGAGGCAGCAAACTTGAGGAAGTGGAAAATTAATGCTTTTCCTTCAGATATAATAAGAAGGAGGAGTTCACGCAACAGAGCAGAGCTAATTTCTGTATAGCGTTAGACTTGGCACCAATGAAAGAAAACACAATTAGCTCATTTTCTTTGGGTTTGTTTAAAGGTATAGATATTGATAATAGGTATTACATCAATTCCCATGTGTATTTTTAAAAGTGGCTGAACACCTGAAAGTTGAGAAACCTGCTTTGTGACATTGGAAAAGAGATGAATGTAAGAACAGCTTTAAGAAAGTGGAATATAAATATATTGGCTTAAAGAAGAAGGTAACATGACCACTGATTAAAGAACTGTAGGAAGGAGATGAGAATGGCTGAGGAAAATGAATGGGAACAAGTATTGAGTTAATCTTCTGTTCCAAGATCTATCATAGCTCTGGATGCGGTATTGACCCCAAGGTAGACCATTGCACAATTAGTTATATTCGGGAGGTGTTGCATGTTCCTCTGAAACATCCAGTAATATCCGCCATTGTTGGAGATAGATGGGCCTGTGGTCTGCTCCAGTCTGCCAACTACTTAAGGTCTCGTGTTTTTGAGCACAGCCTAGAATAAACAATATTTTATGTTCTCCTTCTCATTGGCATCACTTTGAATCTGTACCAATGCTGGGGTACAGGTCTTTGCTGGTTTGAGGAAGGGGAGAACTGTCCTTACATTTAGCATATGATCATCTATGTTGGTACTCAGACTCAGTTCAGATGTGATCTGATTAGACTGGAAGTTTAGCAGAGTCTTCATTTAGGTTTCAGGTTGGGTTTGGGCAACTGGAAATATCCTTATTTCAGGACAGTGCTGGAGAGGTACAGGCTCCTTGCATCTTTTTTTTTTTTATGATGAGTGATAGGAAAAAAACTTGATGGGTCAAATTTCTCTTTCACCTACAGCAGCATAAATCCAGTGTAACACCACTCAGAGTAACTGAAAGAAAAATATAGACCAGTGCCTCTTTCTAAAACATCAGGCTACAGAAGAGAGAAGATGTACCATAAGCTTCCCGAATGTGCCTCAATTCTGATCTGCCATGCAAATTGCCAGTCAGATCCAGGACATCTGGACATCTCCAGGGTATCATTTTCTGTTCATGCTAAATATTCCCAGGTGATTAGGACAAAAAGCACCAGGCTCCTCCTAACCCATAACATAAGGATGTGATCGGAATTGTGCATTGATAAAAGGCTGGTAATGTAACCAACTGTGCCATCTGATGCTAGTATTTGACAAGAATGGGTACATTCAACCTATCTTGAGTGGGAGGAAATTGTTCTGGTTCCCATCAGCCAAAGCCAGCTGAATCTCTATCTGGATGCAACCCTTTATAGAATAAACCAGTACTTGTTTGATGGAGGGTGACTAACCTATTTTTCCGCCATGGTTCAGAGACACTTCTACATCGCTCACTAGTAAAGGAAGTGACTGAGAGTTAGCTCTTTGTGTTACAGGATACAAATATCATGAAGCCGTTTAATTTATTAAGCACTTATTGCCAAGCACATGTGTTCTGCACATGGTGAGAGGGGAGGCCATCAACAGTAAAATCATAACCTGGGCCCAGTGTCCCAACCAAAGCTCCCCAACACCAGATCACTAATGCATGGAAGGATGCATGGAAATGGGGGTTCTTGGTTAAACTGGATTAAACAGAAAGGATGTACAATGATTCTGTGGACTCTGGCTAGACTTTGTTAGAGAGGGAGTTCTAGAGATCAGACCCGACCACTACGAAGCTCTTGTATCTCAGCCTGATCCCAGTTTGAACATCAGGAGGCTGATCATGGACAATCCCCCTGCTCAGTTATTTGGTGGAACATCATCCACAAGTAATGACCATATAATCTGCAGGCCTGTGCATATTTAATAAAGCCACTGGGCCAGATTTTGTTCTGAGTCACACTAGTGTAAACCTGTTCACTTCAATGGAATTGTGTATTGGAATAGTGACTTCAGTGGGTTTACCCTGATGCAAATGAGAATACATTCTGACCCAAAGGCTTTATTAAATGACTGGGAAAATAGGTTATATGGTATATTGCTTCTGGACGGTAGCCCATCAAGTAACTGAGATCAGCAATCGAATGGCAGAAGGTTGATCATGCTCATTTTATATAACCCATTAAAATATTACATTATTGGTTACCTCACTGCAAGCATTGTTTTTATAGACCCTGTTGTAACTTACCTGTAATGGTAATCATCCTCCTCCTATATGTTTATTACCCAATTACATGGACACTATCTGGTAATTACAATGTAATTAAATAGTCAACAGTTAACATACTATTATATAGTAATTACATGATATTTGTGCCCTGTATTTTAAAGTGTTACCAGTTAAATCAGCCCTCCCTTGCACTTTAACTGAGTTAATTTTCAGATTATTACTGAAAGGTTAACATCTCTCCCAATAACCTAGCTGAAGTTTTGTTGAACCAGAGGACAGATCATTTCACTGTTATCCTCTTCAGTGCTTCAGCAAACAAGCCATGTGAATTAAGTTATGTTTTCCATCCCATGTGGAAATAAAATGGTGTTGTGGAAGCCAGGTGCATATTTCTTAATGCTACATTTGCAAATGTTTTCCAAGAAGAGCTGAAAACATTCATTCAGCACCGGGCCTGAAACCTGCTTGTTATTTACCAGCTTTCATAAGATGACGGTGTGAAAGGAGCTGAGGAGAGGAACTAAATAAGCCCCTATATTCACTTCACCATGCTGTCCTGCACCTCCTACAGCAGCCTGCTGAGCTCCGTCTGCCCTGCTAGATGTCTCAGCCCTTTTGAAAACCAAGGAATTGGCATCCACTTCAGTTCTATTAGCCAACTTCAAGAGATTTTGCAGATGAAAAATATTTCATTTTCCAAAGTTACCTCTTGTCTCATTTAAAAAGATGCCAATGAACAAACCTCATTTTGGAGAGCTCAGTAATGACTGATCCCTTACACCCACTCAGAAATGATTCGGTATGCCCTAAATCTTCCAAAGTGGAAGCCTGTAAAGTTCAATTTTTTGTCCTTCTTCCATATTATTTTTATTCAATTCATAAAAATTACATTTCCTCCCTGTCCCCCTCACACACTAATCCCTCTGGCGGCCCCCCCAAATTGCTATTTGTAGGTACATTCCGTAATTTAAAATGTAGATAATTGAGAAGAAACCTGTTCTAATCCAAAAGAAACAACAACAACTTTGATCGGTGAATAAATCCTTGTAGAGAGTGGCAAGCAACGTAGGACTGTCTCAAGGGAAGCGGGAGATGAAAGAGGAGCAAAGAAAATACAGCTTTCCATAAACACTCCTGAACAGCCTCACCATTGAGCTCATCTCTGGATTTGGTGGCTCGCTTGCCACGCTTTTTGAAGAAGTTAGAGGCATCTGATTCTTGTATAAAAATCTTCTTTTTCACACCTGAAAGCAAAGAGAGAGGACTTGATCAGCCATGGATAGTAAATAGGGGCATCAATGTATATTTAAAAGTCGTAGGAGCAACTTTTCTCCTCTCCCCCCTAAAATTTTCAGCTCCACTTACTTTCCTTGTCCTCTTCCCCAGCTGCCTTCCTGGTGCCCACAGCAGCACTGTGGCTCTTCTCAAGAACTGGATGACAACAGCACAAACATAGTATTGGGTTCAGTGAAGAAATGCAGCATCCCACAGGAAAAACCTCAAGCAGATGTTGAAAGCTGCTACCTGCTAAAACCCTAAAAATCCTGCAGTCCAATAACAACCTGCCTGGGAAATTCACTTTTACACAGCAAGAGCAACAGTACAATCAGCAGCTATGTAGACATATATTTTTGTGCTCCCGGTTTTTATTTTTGTAGAAAGTCTTAAAAATAGCAATTAACAAGACCTATAAGGACATTTAGTCCAGTTTATCCCATTATATTTAAAAAATTGTCTGTATATTCCTAGTATAACTTGATGCCTAAATCCTTTAGAGATTGTGATAGATTACAGTGGATTAGATTAGCTTCTCACATACTCCCTCATGCTCATTTGACTAGCAATGTGGTAGATGACAGTGTTCTTATGTTACCCCAATGACACGAGTTCAGATTTCTATCATTCCTTGCTGAAATTCTATGCTTCCTGCTGGCACTATTATTACTCTGGATCATACATACCAACCAAGAGCACAAAAGTTGCAAGGCAAGAGAGAAAAAGGATTTCTTTCCAGTTCATCTTTGTTGCACTCCAGTTGACTCCTCAGAAAAATAGTGAATATCACAAGAAGTTTCTTGAGATCTGCTTGCAAATTCCTCCTGTTAGCTGGAAAAGGAAGCAGGGAGCTGGGATGTCACTGTGGGAAAGAGGAGGGGCATGGGGTAGCACTTCAGTTGGCTGCTCATTGCCAGATCAAAGGAGGTTTCAGGCAACTTGAAAACATCTATATGAGACATATCCTGTGGTCATCAGCATTTTGATGGAAGTCAGCGTTACAAACTGCCAGGCAAGTGGGATGGCCTGGCTGGGAGATGACTATTACAAGCAAAAGATTATACAGCATATTATTTTTGGTCATCTATTGTATATAGTTTAAAATGCAATTAAACTCTGAAAAAAAAAACCACCCCTTTGTACTCAGCAGATCTGCTCTCTGCTGTATCAGAGTCAAATCTAGTGAGTTTAATGACTATAAGCTTTCAGTGCTTTTTTAACTTCCGTTAGCCCTCCAGAGTCAGCCCAGCTAAGAAAGGAGCCTGATTCTATTGTTTCTAGTGCATTACGAGCAGAATGGTTTACTAGGCTCATTCATTTACACCTGTGCAAGTGCCAATGAAGGCAATGCGGCTGCACAGGTGTCACTGAGGACGTAAACATTAGGGCCTGAATTCTCAGCTGCACTAAGGCCCCTTCACACAGTGCTGGCAGCATAAAGGGGCCTTAAAACTGGGGTATGTTACATAAGTATCTGGAATTATATCCCTCTGATCTTCTGGAAAGCCATTAAGTATGTGCCCAGAGCTGGGGATATGTAACAGCAGCACAATCAAACCGTGTTTATCTTATATCTTTATCTTATGGAATATAAAAATAATTTGGATACGGTTGGGAGGAGTTTGGCTACCTAATGGGTGTGATGCAGGTCAAGAGACATGACCTCATTTTAAATAAGAGGAATTTTTGGACAACTGTGGCTCAGTGAGCTGTAGCTCACGAAAGCTTATGCTCAAATAAATTGGTTAGTTTCTAAGGTGCCACAAGTCCTCCTTTTCTTTTTGCAAAGTTTCAGTGTAACAGCTAGGTTGATGTTTGGATGGAATTGCCAGACTTCTTGAAGAACTCCAAAAGAATCCGAATATTGCCTAGGGCTACTTTTAAGCTTCTTATATTATCATATTGCAGGACACTCATCTGTGGAAATGGCTTTCAGAAAATGACATTCTGGAAATAAGACTAATAGATTTTAAGGCCAGTAGGAACCATTACAATCACCTCTTGCATAGCACAAGCCATAGAATGTCATCCAGTGATTTCTGCATCAAGTCCAACAACTTTAGGCTGAGCTTCAGCATAGCTCTTAAGAAGACATCCAGTCTTGACTTACAGACTTCAAGCGGTGAAGAATCTATCACATCGCTTGTCGGCTTATTCCACCGGCTAAGTACCCTCACTTTTACATATGTACACCTTATTTCCAGGTTGAATTTGTCTAGCTTCGGCTTCCAGACATTGGATCTTGTCATACTTTGTCTGCTAGATGAAAGAGCTCTCTAGTAACAAATATCTATACTTTCAGCCATATCAGTATATAAATGTATGTGTATTCGAGGGAAATTGTAAATTCAAGAAAATTAATTCTAGGAAGGTAGAGGGGAAAACTGCAACATGATTTAAAGTCAAGAAAGATAGAAATTTAGTTGGTTGCATCAGTTCACGTTGCCCGCTATATCAGAAGGGAGCACAGAAACAACCCGAGTGAAGGGAAAGAGGTGTTTTACATAGAAAAGGGGGTGATCTCTCTCTTTCAGTGATGATTCACATGATGGACTGGACATTCCAAGGATCAGAAAAATTGTGTTGGCAGTAGTCAGGTAAAGGAATATACACGAGGGTTTAAAAATAAATAATGGGAATGCTAGAGCTCTGCACTTGGCTTCGTAGCCTGAGAATTCAGTGAATGTGTGGTTTGTATTCTGAATTCCCTGCAGGCCTTGACATTTTGGCACAAATTGGGTGTCACACTTCTTAAGTACAGTATGTGAAATGGGTAAGTCACCATACCTGTCTGGATCCTGGATCCTGTCTGCTTTTATTAATGATGAATTACCCACCATAAAAAAATAAAAGACAAATATCAGCTTTGTGTTTCCTCCGTTAAAATGATGTGCTTATTAGCCACCTAAACAATTAATCATATAGAATTATTCCATCGGGACATGCTGGTGGAAACACAATAGCACACAGCAGGATTTACCACATTGGATCACACAGAGCCCAGCATCCTGATTCCAGTAGTGGCCAATACCTGAAAAAGATGAAAAGAGCCGACAGTGGAGGCGTGCAAAGTTTGGAAATTCTATCCTCCCACTCCAAAGCATGAGATTTGATTAAACTTATTATTTCATAAAAGGAGAAGTGATACTAATGAACATAAAGTTAGCCAGACAAGGCTGGTTCCCAGGCAGATGTGCCTGGGAAAAGAACCCTGTGCCATTGTGTAAAGGTGTGTGTGGGCTGTCCCCATGAACCCCCTTGGGAACCCAGTGTGGTGTTGCAGATAGGCTCTGCCTTAATTTCCTCTGAGTGGGGCAGCAATATGTTTGCTATAACAGCCAGGGCAAGGAGAAGCCAACATATACTAACAAAATAGTACATCCCTGTTTCATAAAGCTTCAGAGCAGGGGAAATTACAATAAACCTTTCATCAGGAGCCTGATTTAGTGCTCCCGAATTTAAAGGCTACAACACCAAGGCTGAGTCAGTTTAGGCTAGTCTCTTGTTGGGGGATCCGTGAAGGGATTTAGGCATTGCAATGCGCTAAGTATGACACCACCTAACTTTTAGGCACCTAGAAAATCCAGGAACAGCCCTGCAAGCCACCAGGCCAAGTTACACACCTTGGCTCCTTATACAGTGAATGGGGAGAGAATGGCGCCGGAGAATGGGCTCCACAACAGCCAGCTTGCAAAGCGGGGAGCAATGGGAGGTGCTGACCGGAGGGTTCTGTGGTAAACCCCACCCCTTTCTTGACGATGGACCCTTATCTCTGCTGCTCATTCACCAGCAGACAACGCTTTGGCGCCAAAGGGGTTCCTTGTGGAAACGAGTTAGGCACCTGTCTTGCTCCACACAGAGGAGGGGGAGGTGATGGTGGGGCCATTCTCCTTACACTTTTAGCCCAGTGGTTAGAGCAGGCCAGCCAACAGCAATTCTGGGGCCCAGGGCAGAACTGTCAATCGGCCCCCGAGCTGCTGGCTACCCTGCTGGGAGCACTCTTCCGGCACGGTCAGGGCTTCCACATGCCCACCCGGCTGCCTTCGCCGTCATCGGTGCCACCCCACACGTCCCTAGGAGCATAGGCACCAGCTTCCAGCATAGGCGCTCGACCTGCCACTCCATTCTAGGCCCCTTCCCCCAATGCCCCACCCCCCCGTACCTCTTCCCACCCCTGTTCCACCCTCTCCCCGAGGGCACCCCATATACAACTGGTGCCTCCCCATAGTGGGGGAACCACCCCCAGCACATTCTGCTGCTCTCCCTGGCGGGCAAGAGCCCAGGTGGGGAGCAGGAGGGAGACGCTTTTAATGCCGGCCCCTCCTGGTTGCTGCTCTGAAGCCCTGCCTGAAAGCTGCCTGAAAGAGTCTGGCTGGGGAGGAGGTTGCTGCTGGGGACCCTGGCACCCGAGCAGGGAGTGGGGATGAGCTGATCAGCAGGGGTTCAGTGGGAGTCTTGTGGATCACAGTAGAACCAGAAGTGGGACTTTGGCACTTAAACCCTAAGTCTGGGGTTAAGGCCCCTAAATACTTCTGTAGATCTCACCTTTAAAGCCTGAGAGAGAAAATAGCTCCCACAGGCTTCTTCCTTACTCAGCTTCCTGTTCCTGTTTAAATAGCCCATCCATCCTAAGGCTTCCTTGATTACGCCCAAGGCTGTTCCAGCTGCATGCTCTAGCCTGTCCCTTAAAGGGGTAGTTCACTCCCTTCACATATGGTCTGGCTTGATTAACTTTTACTGACCTTCATGGGCCGCTCCCACCCCTACCCCAACCCTGCAGGAGGGAGGACTAGCAAATCCACGTAACCCCTGCCTCACCATGTGAATACTGCATAGGAGGTCTCATGGGGGAGTGAAGGGGCGTTCTTGTTGTGACTCCCGAAAAAACCTCCTGCACTTTCACAGCAGAGCCACACCATTTCCTCTGCCTGGGCACTCTCTGCTGCCGTGGGGCAGGGGGCAAGATGAACCCCTGAAACAACCACGCACGGTTAGTGATGTGTTACTAATATTTTAACAGGACCCTCCCACAAAGGTTTCCCCTTCACCTGTGACAAACCCATGGAGTGGGGGGCCCATGTACTCAAAGAGAGAGGAGAGGGAATGGGAAACCTATTCATGAACTTCCCTATTTAAACAGGAACCCTTTCCCCTAACCACGACCACAATCAAGGAAGAGGGCAAGAACACTTGGCAAACAAACTGAAGTACTGAGGGCAGGTGTTTTGACAAACATTCCGACTAACCATGTGCCTCTGATTCCCAGCTGTGTCCCAGGGCTACGTTTACCTTTCTAGGAGATCATCTCCTCTCCGCACGCTCGCGGGTCAGCTTCCCCTACATGGGCATTTGCAGCAGCTCCGGCCTCTGCAGGCTTCAGGGAGAGAGTCAGGCCAAGGAACGCTAGAGGCACCAGGAAGGGCTTGTGTCTCCTGCTTCAACAGTTAGTGAGTGTCTCTTGTTGGGAAGCATAGCTGGCTCTAAGTGCAGAGAGCTGTTTCCCTCCTGGCCCACTCTGGGGGGGGTCACTTCTGTCCCCCTTTCCCAGGCAGGAAAGGGACAGGCAGGATTGAAAATGCTGGCTCTGCTGGGTAAGATGCAGCCCAGGCTGGGGGGGGTCACCTCTGTCCTCTTTCGCCCGGCAGGAAAGAAGCTAAGCAGGAGTGGAAAAGACATGGCTCTGGGGCAAGCACCTCCCACTCCCCCATTTCTGGGAGGGGAGTAATCGCAGAAGGGCAGAGCACCAGATGGAAGATAGTTCCCGAATCCCTACAGTCCGCACAAGCAATTATGCCTCGACTGCGGCACTTGGGCGCCTCGTCCCCTTTCACTTCCCCGCAAGGTACTAATGGAGGGCACCAGACACAGCATGGACACTGCTGAGGCTGGACAGTGGATAAGGGGCCTTCAGGGCCAGCTCTGTCCTCATGCTGCCTCCTCTATAACAACCCCCTACCCCCAGCGGATCCCTACTCATACCCCAAGCTGACATCTGGCTCATGTGGATCCCTTGCACTAGAGGGGGTAGAGCAGGGGGTGGGAAAACTATGGCCCGCGAGCCAGATCCGGCCCCTCAGGGCTTTGGATCCAGCCCGTGGGATTGCCACCCTGGTGGCACCGTGTGCCCCGTGCCGGTCCGGGAACCAGCCGGCACCACTTCCCTGCGGCCCCTGGGGAAGAGGGGGGCAGAGGGCTCCGCACGCTGCCCTTGCCTGTGGGTACCTCCCCCCGAAGCTCCCATTGGCTGGGAAGGGGAACCGCGGCCAATGGGAGCTTCGGGGGAGGTAGCCACAGGCAAGGGCAGCGTGCGGAGCCCTCTGCTCCCTCTCCCCCAGGGGCTGCAGGGACGTGGTGCTGGCCACTTCCTGGACGGGCACAGTGCCGGGGCCAGGGTAAGCAGGCAGGGAGCCTGCCCTGGCCCCGGTGTGTGCCGCTGCCCCCCTGGAGCCACTCCAGGTAAGCAACTCCGGGCCAGAGCCCGAACCCCTCCTGCACCCGCCCCCCAACTCCCTGCCCTGAGCCCCCTGCCTGCACCCCAACCCCCTTCTCTGAGCTCCCTCCTACACCCCGCACCCCTCCTCTGCCCCAACCACTTGCTCTGAGCCCCTTTCTGCACACCGCACCCCCTCCCATACCCTGCACTCCCTCCCTTCCACAGTCCAACCCCCTGCCCCAGCCCTACATTCATGGCCCTGAGAGCAATTTCCCCACCCAGATGTGGCCCTCGGGCCAAAAAGTTTGCCCACCCCTTGGGCAGTGTGTCTGGAGATCCCATCCTTGAGCGCCAAGCCAGTACCTTCCTTGAGAGACCCAGAAGGGGCTCATTTGGGGGATGGGAGACATAAGCCCAGCACACCCTCACTCAAGAGGGAATTCTTTCTTCTGAGGGGAGGAAGGCTGCAGTGGATTAAAATTGTAAAATATATTAAGGAAGAAGAAGGAGGTGGAGGGGGAAACTCACCAGAGGAGTGACACTTTCTGGCACAGTCTGGACCAGCACTACAGAAGGATGAGTGGGCTTCACAGACATTTTCTGACAGCAGAGGAATGGTCAGACTCAGGAATCTTGGGTTCCAGTTGAGGTTCAGAAATATTCCCTCGTGGACACAGACTTCTGCCCATTCTCCCCCCACCCCTGCTTGACCCCACTCCTGCCCTTCCAACCTGTCCCTGTCAAATCCTGTCTCTTTCCCACCCCTGGTTCTTATCACTGTCCCATTCTCCTTTCTGATCGAGTCTCAGTCTCTATTTCTCAGGCTTCTCATTGCAATCCCAGTCTCCTTGCCCAGCCAGTCCTATTCTTTCCCTCTGGACTCACTCTCTAACCTCTAATGTCCCCCCCGCTCCCCCATTCTGTCTTTCCTTCTCCTCACCCCCTATCCCAGTCTCCTTGTGCAGCTTGTCGCTCCTTCCTCTATTACTTGGCCCCAATCTCCTTGCCCAGACAGTGCCACTTTCCCTCTCCAGGCTTCTTGTCCAATCTCTCTCCCCTCCCTTCCCTCCAAACTCATAATCCTAGTCTTCCTCCCTAAAATGCTCATCCAGTCTCAATGTCATCCCCCACCTCTTCTCCAGCTCCTTGTCCCAGTCTTTTTGCCCAGCCAGTCCCACCCCGAGCTCTCTGCACCCCAGTTCCTTGTCAGATCTGTCTCCCTTCCATCCCACTCCCATTCTGACCCCCAAGCTGGTTTCAATCCCCATTTCTTTGTCCAGCCAGGGTTAGTCTCTTCCCCTGCCTCCAGCTCCTTGTCTGATTTCAGTGTCTCCCGGCATCCCAGTTGCCTGGGTCCCAGTTGCCTCACATTTCCCTCACTGGCTCTGAGGTCTAGTCTCCCCCTTCTGGATCCCAGTCACCTTGTCCAACCAGTCCCAGTCTCCCCTACCCTCCTGCTCCCAGTCAGTCATTCCTCCCTTTCCTTATCTAGTCAATCCCAGTTTCCTTGCCGAGCCAGTCACAGTTTTTCTCCCACCCTCCAGTCCCAGAGTGACTGGAGTCCCAGGGAGCCACACTGGAGTTACTCAATTAGGATGAACTGCAAGAATGGGGCAGACAATCCCCAAAGCTGGTGGATATTCCAATACTTAGATTTACCAAACCAGCACAAACAGCTTCTATAATACCTCACTGGTTACCCAGAAGCCAACAACACAGTTCCATTAAAGCAACCCAACCTTAGGCCTCCACCCAGACAGCCAAGTCAAATACGATGAGGATTACTGAAAATCTTAATCATCATATAAGAAAGTTCTACCAATCCCAAAGGATTGGACACATTACCTCCCAGGTTAATGAATATTCTAGCTCTTACCCAAATACACGCTTACAGCCAATTCTTATTAACTAAACTAAAATTTATTAAAAAAGAAAAGAGAGATTATTGGTTAAAAGATCACTACACATATAGACATGAGTACAGTTTTGAGATTAGATTCATAGTAGAGATGGTGAGTTTTGTAGTTGCAAAGAGTTCTTTTAGAATTAATCCATAGGTTATAGTCCAATGTTCATATTCAGGGTGATCCAGATTAGGTCTGGAGATCTCGGCCTTATGGTTTAAGATTCCCCTGCATGAAGCATTAAGCAGATCTGAGATGACAAGGATCAGGACTCAAGGTGTTTTTATACAGTTCCAGGCTTTCTTTTGACAGGTCAGAATCCTTAGGTGAACAATAGGCAATTATTGAGACTTTGAAGTAGATCTATTTCCTAAGCATTACCAGTAATTAGCTTCATGGATTAACATAAGGCAATTTATCCATTAGGCAGTTTATCACAAACTTTAAAGAGACATATAGACAATGACATTATTTCACCCAGGATTCATTAAACTGTTAATATTCCTTTTTGATCTTTGAATCAATCTTTGAATAGAATCAATCAATAGACAGACAGGAACTAACATCTAACAAGATATAAGTAAATACATACAATTAGTATCACCTCTAATTCTCTAACAATACAAGGTATGCACTTCAAAGTTCTAGTCTATCTAACATGGAATGGCCCTAATTACCATTTACATACTTTTCTGACATGTCTCTAAAAGTTGAATCTGGGTCATTTATCCTGCAGAATGCTTAACCCTTTCTAGCCATGTGTCGCACTTTATGTAAGATTTGTTGCAATTATATAGCAGTGGTAGCAACAATGATTTGCATGGTCATACTCTAATCAGATAACGTCACACCCAGTCTCACCACATTCCTTGTCCCAACCTACTCCTTTCACTCCCCTGGTCTGGCTTTTGTTCCATCTGCATTCAAATTGGGTAGTTTCCTCCTCCATGCTGAATGGATTGCAACAGGGGGATCATTGAGGGCACAGAAGAGACAAGCTCCCTGCTCTCATTTCCAGAGCTTGGCCCTACCCCAGTCTGGAGCAGCCATTATGGGGAAAGTCCAGCTTTGCTCCTGTAGCTCTGGGCTGAAGCCTGATTTCTCGCTCTGTGTGGATGGGACATGCACAGTCTAGTCAGCAATCTGACCTATGATAGGTTTCAGAGTAACAGCCGTGTTAGTCTGTATTCGCAAAAAGAAAAGGAGAACTTGTGGCACCTTAGAGACTAACCAATTTATTTGAGCATGAGCTTTCGTGAGCGACAGCTACACCTTCATCTGATGAAGTGAGCTGTAGCTCACGAAAGCTTATGCTCAAATAAATTGGTTAGTTTCTAAGGTGCCACAAGTACTCCTTTTCTTTGAACTATGATAGGTTCAAGCATGCTCTGTGAGGATGTAATCTTCAGAGATCTTAGCTGCTAAAATTGAAGAAATTTCTAATGAGCAAGCACAAATTGCAATTTTTTTTTTCAAAAGGTTATAACTTGGCTAAATTTGAGCTGATTTTCACAGGGATGGGCTATCCCTTACACAGGCCACCCCCTGCCAAGTTTCACATCTCTCTGCTTCAAAGCAGAGCTTTTCAAAGACAAGGTCACTAGAATATCTTACCATGGGTAAAACAATGTATTTTACCCTATCCTCATTTTGGCAGAAATTTAATATATGTATTTCAGCCTGAGGTATATAAATATCAGCCCAAATAGTTAGTTTGGCAAAGTTATAAGCAACTGAAAACAGGGCTTTACAGTGAGAAGTGTCAAGTAAACTTATTAATAGGCAGTTCTGTTTGTCCCATGGATGTAAGCAGGGTCTGAACGAATTCTCCCCTGACAGCTAGCTGGGATGGGGAGAGACTTCAGGAGCAAACTGTGTTTACAAGAACACACCTACTCTGCTTAGCTATCCAGCAGAAGGAGTGGTGTTGCTCAAAGTAATCAACTTTGGCTGGTGTTGGATGACAAATCACTTTCGTACTGAATGCAGGAGTAGTAAAATGCTGTTACCAATGTTGTTGTCATTATTGTATGAATAAAGGGGAGCAGAACTGCACTTAACCTGTCCCAAATAAGGGGATCACCCTGATCTGAAAGGACCTAGTTAAGCCAGGGGCTCGAATGCCAGAGGCCTAGGAAAGTAAGATGGGGTGAGAACAGATGTCCCAGGCAGGAGGTGTGGATTTTCCCTAAGGATTCCTGGACTGGTTTAACCTATTCCCCCCCCCCCACTTTTCAAAGAAAGAGCTAAACAGGCTTTATTAGGAGCCTCTTTGTTATTTTAAATGCTCAATGAGAGCTGAGATCAGTTGAGGTGGGACTGTGTTTCTGCCCAGCCTGCTAAGAGCTAAAAAAACCACTGAGAGCTGAAATCACTTGAGATGGGGCAGTGTTTCTGCCTAGCCTGCAAAGAGCTGAAAATTACCAAGAGACTGATGTGCAGCGGTCACAGCAGAGAGGCAGGTGGCAGCAGAAGCTGACTGACAGCTGGCTAACAAGTAGCTGGCAAGGCAACAAGCAGCTGGTGAGGCAGGCTGCGAGGAACCACAGCCAGCAGAGAGGAATTGTGGCTGGTAGGGCAGCCAGGCGCCGAGGAGTAGCGGCTGGCGGGGCAGCCAGCCAGAGCAAGTGCTCAGATGGCGGAGCAAGCAAGGTGCCTTCTTCCCTGGGTGGCAGGTGAACTCACACAGATGCACCTCTGAACCCTGGGTCCTCACTTACAAAGGACAACCACTGTGAGTGGGGTATGGTGAGGGAGCAGGGGAGGGGGGGGGGCAAAAAAAAGGAACTTTTGGTTGTAGAACTCAAGAACATGAGGCAGAAGACGCTGCCCCATGCACTCTGGGGTGGGTGTCCTGCTCACAGTTTTATGATTATGAATCCTGCTTGTGGCATTTTCCCTAATTAATGTTGGGTGATTTCCCTCCTTTCATTAAAAGTTTCTTTTCTACAGTCAGACTCTGTGCTTGTGAGAGGGGAAGTATTCCCTTCAGAGGCACCCAGGGGTGGTGTGTAATTTTCCCAGGTTACTGGATGGGGGCATGAGCCGGTTCTGTGTTGTATTGTTGAAAAGGAACCCCTAAATATTGAACCCAGCCCTGCTTGCTGCTGGCTCCACCTGGCAGAAGGGTTACACATACAGTAATAAAACATACCTCGTTTGGAATGTCCACATTTAAAGGATGATCCTGCTTCCCACACTGGAGGCACAATGCTATGAAAATCCTATTGTGCTGGAGCTGTGTGAAGAATAGGAATATTTATCCATGTTTATCTGAAAATTTCCTTTGTGTAATAATGTCCACAGATCTGGGCCACCCTGCAGATCAGTGGTTCTCAACCAGGGGTACATGTACCCCTGGGGGCACACAGAGATCGTCCAGGGGGTACATCAACTCATCTAGATATTTGCCTAGTTTTACAACAAGCTACACAAAAAGCACTGGCAAAGTCAGTACAAACTAAAATTTCATACAAAGACATGTTTATACTGTTCTATATACTATATTAGGAGTTCTTAAACTGTGGGCGAGTGTTAGACTCACTGGGACCCAGAGCAGAAAGCCGAAGCTCGAGTTTTTAAGTGAGGTGAATCTTAGGGTACTCAGACAAATCAGACTCCTGAAAGGGGTATGGTAGTCTAGAAAGATTGAGAATCACTGCTGCAGAAAAATAGGTCGCTCAGAATAGAGATGAAAACTGACAATGAAGAATTTGGGTTTGTTGTCACTAGTGGGAATTTCCTATACTCTGCAGTAAGAAAAGTCTGCTGTACTTTTTCCTCAAAATATAGCTAACACAACCTTTAAGTTAGGAAAGTAGATTTGAATTATCTTGGCTGTGGTAGTTATTTCAACTGGAGAGACCTTCAAAAGGTAGGGCATTCCCCTGTGACTAGCAGGTCTGGCTTTGCCCCTAAACTTCAAGCAAGCTGAAGAACCCTTGTAAGAGTTCTTTGGACCTTATGACTTGAAGAGAGGACATTTTCAGGTAATCACCAACAAATTTCCTGTTCCAAAGGTGGAAAATTGCTCGTCAGATGCATTGTCATGAGCACCAAGAATGAGACATTTCTGGTAGGATGAGTCAGCAGTACCCCAAGAAGGATTTTTTTAACCCTGGTTTCAAAGTAGTACCCAGCGGCTGCCTCATAATCTACAATCTAGTGCAGGGGTTTTCAAACTTCATTGCACCGTGATCCACTTCTGACAACAAAAATTACTTCATGACTCCAGGAAGGAGGACTGAAGCCTGAGCCTGCCCATGCCCCATTTCCCTGAGTTGGGGGTCAAAGCCCAAGCCCCACCGCTCTGGGAAGGGGGGCCAAAGCTGAAGCTCAAGAGCTTCAGCCCCAAGCAGGGGGCCTGCAACCTGAGCCCCACCACCCAGGGCTGAAGCCCTCAGGCTTTGGCTTTGGCCCCGGGCAGTGGGTCTCTGGCTTCAGCCCCACTGCCCCACCAAGTCTAAGCCAGGCCTGGCAACCCCATTCAAAGGGGGTCGTGACCCACTTTGGGGTCCTGGCCCACAGTTTGAGAACCGCTGCTCTAGTGTCTGTGTCAGTCCTCCAGGCCCTTAATTCACACTCCTAAATCTCGAGGATTTAAGGGAGCTTTTAGCACCTATGCATTTAAAGGATTTAAAATACTTAAAAGCTTGTACTACTTTAAAAATTTAATGGACTTAAAAGTTTAGGATGCCTCAAGGGTTTTCAAACTTTTTCCTCAATTTTAAAGTCTTTTTCTCACTTTTTTTAAATTAAAAAAAGAAAATAAATGTGAAAATCTCTGTTAAGGCAATGTTAGGGCTACACTTTTGTGACCAAAAACTGCCTCCCCAAATTTGTGGCTTGGCTTGTACTAAGCATGCTCACATGGATGAAGCTGTCTGCAGGCTTGGGTCATCTCTGCAGAAAATGATAAATTTCAGCTTTCTGCAACAATGAACTCATCCATATTGTACATCCATAATGTTCTCTACTCTTCTCTTATTAATTATGTAGTTTAATATAATACCCTTATTATATTCAATTACATATTTAATACTGTATTGATTAGATAGGAAGGATGGTCCAGTGGTTGGGGGGTTTAGCCTGGGACTTAGAAGATCTGAGTTCTATTCCCTATTCTGCCACAGACTTCCTGTGTGAGCTTGGGCAAGCCACTTGGTCTGTCTGTGCCTCAGTTTCCCCATCAGTGAAATGGAGATAATAGCAGTTCCCTCACCCACAGGGCTGTTGTCAGGATAAGTATGTTAAGGATCATGAAGTGTTCAGATACTTATATGTCCCATGTTACAGTACCTTTGAGAGAGAGTAATATTTTGCACTTCTATAGCTGCTTTCTAATTGGAGAACAGAATGCATTTCAGAAATGTTAATTTAGCCATACACACCCTTATTTCCATTGACTCCACCTTGAACTTATGGGTGCTCAGCACTTCTGAAAACCAAGCCCAAGGTGTTCCAGGTTGACGCCCCAAATCAGTCAGCACTCTTGGCTTTCATGGCTGCTCATGGTCACACAGGAAGCCTAGGGCAGATATAGGATTAGAAGTTAGAACCCACGTCTCCATACTTCCAATTCTGTGCCCTAGGCACAGGTGTATTCCTTCTGCCCTACCAATATATAACTGTGTATATTGCTCAACGTATGCCATGACTTAACACAGGATGTGCAATGTGGGCAAGTTAATGTTTTTGTGGGAGCTTCAACTTCTGCATTTCTTGAGAGTTTGGGTTCTAAACCCCACGCTCAGTACTGCAATAATGCAGTAGATAGTTTTATTCAGTCATTTAATAAAGCTTGTAAAGACTTCAGGAACTATCTGATCTAACATCTTTCATCCAATATAGGTTCGTTATTACTATCACTAAATCTAGCCACAGAATTTTTCTCCATGACCTTTGATTAAAGCCAATGGTTAAATACACTCACAATTAAAGATCCACGCCTTATTTCTAGTCAGAATTTGTTTAGCTTCAACTTCCAGCCATTGGATTGTGTTATATCTTTCTCTGCTAGATTGAAGAACTCAAATTAAATATTTGTTCCCTCTCTAGGTACTTATAGCCTGTAATCAAGCCACCCTTTAACCTTCTTTTTGTTAAGCCAAATAGATTGAACTCCTTGAGTCTGTCATTATAAGTTTTCTAATCCTTGAATCATTCTCATGGCTCTTCTCTGAATCCTCTCCAATTAATCAACATTTGTCTGGACTTGTGGGCACCAGGACTGTACACAGTATTTCAGTAGCAGTTGCATCAGTGCCAGTAGAGAGGTAAAATAACCTCTCAACTCCTACTTGAGATTTCCCTGTTCACACATCCCAGGATTGCATAAGCTCCCAGTGTGACACTGGCCAAAAGAACTACTGTTCTGCTGATTATCCACCATAGCCCCCAGATCTCATTAAGGGTCACTGCTTCCCAGGATAGAGTCTCCCATTCTGTAGGTATGGCCTACATTCTTTGTTCCTAGATGTATACATTACATTTAGCTGTATTAAAATGCATATTGTTTGCTTGTGCCCAGTAAACATAATGTCCCAGCACACACACATATATCATATTAAAACCATGCACATAATACCTATTTTCAACTTTTCAAAACATCTCCAACTCCGGCAAAATCACTGAACGGGAAAACAAAAGCGTGGCTCTGGCTACACTACAGAACCGTTACCAACATAGTCTCCGAGTGTACACACAGCGTACACCGACGGAAGCAGTTGTTCTCCCTGTGGAGGAAACTATGTCCCCAAACAATGTTAGCTACACCGACAGAAACACTCTTCCTCCCGCTATATCTGAAGCTACGCTGAGGGGGTTATCTGCACAGGTGGTCGCTAAGGGCCCAGTGATTTCAGTGGGAGTTAGGTGCCTAAATACCTTGGAGGGTCTGGGCCCAACTCTCATTTTCCCTTTGGCCCCTGGGTAACTATTCCAAACATGGAGCCATTCTGAAAAGTTACAGAGCAGAAGTGGGGGGGCCGGGGGGGGACCCAGAAAAAGCAGAGGAGAAAAGCAAAAATCCTACCCTGGCCATGGTTTATATTATCACACTCTATGGCAAAAAGGGGGAGGGGGGGAAGAAGAGAAAAAGTTTGAAATTAGAAAAATGGGGGGAGGGAATGGGGAAAATGCAAAACCAAAAATGGGGGAAATAGAAAAAGGGGGGGAAATGCAAAATCAAGCATTCAGCATTTATTTATTTATGATTTAGTTGAGGATTGGTCCTGCTTTGAGCAGGGGGTTGGACTAGATGACCTCCTGAGGTCCCTTCCAACCCTGATATTCTATGATTCAATGATTCTATTAACGAGGTGTATACTGTGCCTAACATATGTAGTGGCTAACATACCATACCTCTAATAAAATCCTGCTAACTTCACTCATGCCAGTAGTGCCAATGAATTCATGGAAGTTCTGTCTACTAAAGTTTTGCAGGACTGGGAGTAAAATGGGTTAAAAGTTGCCGAGAGCCCACAGATGATTGGTGAATGGGCAGCTTGACACTTTGAAAGAAAGAGAGAGAGGGCAGTTCAAAGCTGCCCCTTTGGGCTAGATCTGCAAAGGGGACTTAAACCCATGTTGCAACGCCTAACTCCTGCCGCCTTGTGCCATCCACAGCCCTGAGTAAATACCCAGGCTCCCTATACAATGCACAGGGAGAGTTAGTCACCTAAGAGTGAGATTCACAGAAGCCAGCAAGCTGAGTTGGCAGTCACCTAAACTAGCCAACAGGAAATGCTGAGGCAAGGGGTGTGGTCTACGCCCCATCCCTCAAAGGGAATTAGGCACCTAACTCGGGGCTGCTGGGGGTGCTTCTATCTGTTCAGGACTCACAGCTGTGAGCCCTCTTCTGGAGGTAGGTATCTAAGCCCTTTCTCAAAACATATGAGACGGTGCCTGCTGTTGGCCCACTGATTAGAGTACTTACCCAGGAAGTGCTAGACCTGGGATAATGCCTCTTCTGCCTCATGTGGAGTAGGGATTTGACCCCAGGTCTCAGGTGAGTGCCCTAAGCATGGGGCTATGAGATATTTGGGTGCAGGGTCTCTCTGTCTTGCCTGTTGAATCTGTTCCACTTTGCATAAATATAAATCATTAGGCCACAGAAAACATGAGCTGGACTCCATTCGACTGGGCTGTGGGAGATCCAAGTACAAGTTCCCCTTCCACTGACTAATTTTTTATACAAAATTGGGACAAGGGAGTTGGTGCATGGGTGTGGCATTGTAAAAGGCCAGTCATTCTCAATATTCTAATAGTAACCATTCTCATTGCCCTTCTTTGAACCTTTACTATATCATCCCTCTGGCTCTTGTTAACTCAGGTAACAGTAACCAAAAACACCACTGCATGGCAGATGAGGGAGTTTAATATTAGTTATATATCATATCACTAAGATTTTCCATATGACTTTCTTCCCCCTTTATGCGTGCACCTATGCACCCTATTTGCTTTCTTTACTGCTACAGCACACTTGGCAGGTTAGTTAAATTATACGTGTCAGCTCCTTAGGAGTCTGTTTTACATGCCCCACTTTCAAACCCAATCCATTACAGCAGTGTTGTACCTGCTGCCCTACATTTCAGATTGTTGTAAGATGCTCCTTTATGTAGCTGGGTAGATTCTCCATCCCAAACAGGCACATTGTCACCACCTAAACCGAAGGCACATGTGAGCAGTGGGGTTTCGCTGATTATTGTTTGGTGAGAGAAACAGTAGAAGGGACAGAGAAGGAAGTACCAGATGTAGCAACAGAAACATTAGTAGCATGACCTTCAGAAAACGCTAAATGACAGAGCTTTTGGGCAGAGTGCTGCCTGGAAGAGGCTTGGAGCTGTGAGCAAGAAGGCTTGATGCTGTAAGCAAAGTAACTATTTTCTGTTTAATCCCTCCTGTGTTCAGGGAAAGAGGACTTTGTACACTCTAAAAATCAACAGGGTTGTATCAAGGACAGATGACTTCATCATCAATTTATCCTCCTAATGGAATCAATCTGCATGGCCCCAAACTTTAGTTAACTGCTCTGGGTCAAAAATGAGTAACTATCAGTAATATTTTTGGAGAAGAAAAACAAATTTCCCTTTCAATCGGCTGTTGCATAGTTTTTTACCCCACTATCATTTTCTGTTGTATTGAAATAATCTATCCAGTCACAGCAGGTTTTGCATCTGTTACTCGCCCTCAAAAACCTGCTGTTAGAATGCAAGTTACTTTGTATCCCTAAGCTTAGAACTGGTTCTTAATCTGCTGTTTGTGGAAGTAAACTGATTGCAGGAACTTTTTGTTTTGTTGCTTGGCAAAGCTTCTCATTAAAAAAGCATCAATGGGGGAAAAGTGTGCATAGCCTCTTTCATTACAAGTGAGCTGTCTTTAGCAGTTCAGATTCTATCAGGTGAAATATACAACTGTCTATTGGGGACAGTCTGTTTTCAACTCCGTATTTATTTACATGTATTTAATATGTAATCAGTAAATAAATGGTATGGCCTAACCTCTTAACACTGGTGCAATTGCACTGAAGCCAATGGACTGGTTATGGCATAACTTGAGAGAATTTGGCCTTGTAATTTTACTGACAACCAGAAATGGGACTGTATCTAAACTCCCTATCTGAACATCCCTAGCCCTTGGATAGTTTGATCTGAAAGCCAGCGGGCCTATAATGGCCTGAACCAAAGCCTGTGATCTGAACAGTTCAAGCTATTGGGAAATTCAGCTCCAAACTTTGTGGTTTGGGCTCATTATCTACTGAGAACTGATAAACAATTGTATTCCGTTGTAACCCTTCTGCCCATCAGAGTTGGCAGCAACAAGGGCGGGGTTCAGTAGCTAGGGGCTCCTTTTCAACAATACAACACAAAACCAGCTCGAGCTTCAGTGACCTGGGACAATTACATACAACCCCCTGGGCACCTTTAAGAGGCAATACTTCCCCTCTCGCAAGCACAGAGTCTGAGTGTAAAAAAAAAACTTTTACTAAAAGGAGGGAAGTAACTTGGCATTAATTTGGGAAAACACCACAACTAGGGTTCATAAACATAAACCATGAGCAAAAGACCCACCTCCAAGTAAGTTGGGCAGTGGTCCTTTTCCCCTCAGGTTCTGAAGTCCAGGAACCCAAAAATCCCTTTAATATGCCTGTCCCTTCTCTGTACCCCAGTCACAGTTGCTGTCCTGGGTCAGTGCAGACCCAGAATTCAGAGGTGCATCTGCAGAGTTTACCTCCCACCCTGGGGTGGAGGGTAAGGAGGCACCTTACTCATTCCACTGCTCAGGCACTCACTCTCTACAGGGCTCTGCTCTGACCCTCTCCACCAACCACCCTGCTGGCCACTTGCCAAGTCTCTCCTTCAGCCATGCTGCTCACCAAGATGTCTTCAGGGGCTACCGCTTACACAGCTCTCATTGATTTCAGCTGTTAGTTGGGGAGCCTGACTGCTGGTGCACACTGGGCAGCCTCTTGCATCAGAGACACTGTCCCAAAGCAGGTCTAATACTTAGACCTAGATATCAGTGATT